CAAGAAAACATCCAGACTTTGCAGGAGTGTAATTATGCAAAAACTCTGGAATCGATTCCAAGTAGCTGCAGGCAGATCAATAATTAACAGGCAGCTCTTAGACGGGTTAGACTGAGGCAGAATCCAAAAGGAATTACTATAGCTGCCCCAAACTTAGGATCCTTGCTCTCAGACAACGTGATGTTTTAGGTTTATTTGGAAAATACTGCAGACAGCCACTACAGCTGAGCCGTGACTCATAATATGTCTGTTAACGTTATGCTTTTAATGAAGGACATAACTGGATCAACAGCAGTCGCTCTCTTGCCATGATGAACTAGATTGATTGTTAAAAAAAACCCAGAAGAGCCATTTTAAAGGGCCGTGTCGGAAAGGCCCGTCCGAATGGAGAGTGACAGGAGCAAACTGCAGTTGTATGTTCTATTATTAAACCAAGAGGCATTTTGTGGAATGTGTATGAAATGTATTTCCCTGTCCGCTTCCTCAGGAGTGATAAGAATACAAATTCCTTTCGAGGACAGAAAGTCCAACTTAGATACTACAACAGGACAACTAATCATCGCTTGTTGTAAAGATGCCAGCAACCATGATGGTAAAAGAAAGGGAAACAAGACAGGACGATAGTTAGACTCACCAGTCGTGCGCTTACAATTAGCGCTTCAATCGGTGCATCCATATAGGTCTGAAATATTCCCCCACATTTTCATTCAATTTTATAGACCAACCCAGCCATCATCAGCTGTGTTATCCGTGACTGTTTTCTGTTCCTGTGCATGGTTTGCCTCAGTAATAGTATGAGCTTTGTTTTTCTTCAATTTTTTTTTAATATGGAAAAATGGGGATTTGACATTCGGAATTTTTGATAGTTTTGCGGGTTTAAAGCTCAAAAGTGTGTCATCTCCAGTCATTGAAGAGCACATACATGTCCATTACATATTTTTCTAGCTTTGGCCGAGTAAATCCAGTTCTGATGTGCCTCTAGTGTGAAACGAACCAACTTCCAGCTTTGTCCATTCTGAAGACTGAAACCTTTGCTTATCACCATGTTACTTGGTCCACAGCCACAACACATAACATCTCATGGGTCACAAAGGCCCCAATAGCCTGGTGCCAAGTGGGCCTTGGGTCTGCTGGCACGAGACAGCGCTGCACGTAGGCAGCTTCCCGTTGGGGGCCTGCAGGACAAACGCTTTTAATGTGAAGGGATTGTCTGCACTGCAAGAAGTAGGCTTTAACAAATCGGTACCAAACAAAAGTGTACTACAACAACTTCATAGTACTCTACCATGCTCTCTGGCTGCTGTAAAAGAAAGTACAACAACCTAACATGAACTTAACACACAGATTTTCTCTAAATGGACACATCACTAGTGTGATGCAGTGCTTTTGTAACAGCATGCTCCACAAATATAATCCTGAGCTGCAAATAGTACCATTGACCCGTCCCGAGAAATTGTGAGAAAGAAGCGAAGGGAGCAAAGGAAGGAAAGCAGCATGTTGGGAAGTTCAGGAATCTCAGGATATGGTGAAGTGCTTGCCCAGGCCTGGAGGGAAGGAACAGGCTTCCCTCAAGTCTCAACAGGGAGAGAGAAATAAAAAATAAAAGAAAGTTATTTTCTATGGATTTTAGTTCTAGAAAATACATTGCCTGAAGCCTGGCGCATGCTTCTGCGTCTTTACGCACCACTGTGTCGACGCACTTGTTTCAATTCATGGTTCTAAAAGTCTTGCGTGTGTTGCAGAGCAATTCCCCTGCCAGAACAATAGGTGGAGTAACATTTTCTGTCAAAGACGACCTACAGAGTCACGCCTTTGTGTGTCGTTGGTTTGTTTATTTATTAATCATAGACTTTATTGCCCCGTGCATCGCCACTGCTGCTTTTCATCACGGACACATTTGTCCCATATTTTCCTCCACAACTTTGTTCCCCTCGACAGGCAAACCAACGTTTGCGGAGATCTCTCTCCATGAATCAGAGGCCATCAGCGCTTCCTTATAGTCCGCCAATGACAGCTTGTATAAGTGGTCATATTCACAGATTTTTTCCGACAAAAGCTCATTACATGTTCATACAGTGACAGTGGGAAGCTGCTCCGTTCTCTCGGAAACATTCGTTTTAAGAATGGCGGTATTGTGCTATGAAAACACAAATGTGAGACTTCGGAAAGGACGCAAGCCTAGAAAAATGGGTCGACGCACGCACACGCAAGGGGATGCGTCTGCATGAAAACGCAGAAGCATAAACTAGACTTAACTCAGTACAGGTTGACATATCTCACCACGGTCGACCAAATAGTTTTGAGTGTAACATCTAGCTTAGCACATTGTAAGCTGGATGAAAACCCAACATTAATTCTGCAAAATGTGTGCGCCAAGGGAATAAATGGAAATAGGACACCCCATCTGACAGCTTTTGTTCCCCTGACAATGGTTCCTCTTGAACCTCAGATGCCCATTTTGAACAGCAGCTTTCAGTTCAGAGACTTATTTTGTGGAAACTATTTAACCATATATATATATATGTGTTGCTTTGAAAACATTCAATACCCTTCGAACACATTCTTCCCTCTGCTCTCAACTTGTATTGTCCGTTAATAAAGCTCCAGGCTCCGAACTCAGACTCACTCCATTGTTGTGTTTCTGACGAATGAAATAAGACAAGGACCCGCCGTACCCAACTCTAGATCTGCAGATAAAAAGGTCAGGATGGATCATGCCGCTGCTGTGCCACAGTGCTCACATGAAGCATGAAGGGCCTCGGAGTGGAGATTCGTCTACATTTCATTTCCTAGACTTTGCATTCAAATTGCCTGTCCCACGTGTGAGCATGTCCTAAAGATGGCCGAAGCAGGACAAAGCAAATGGACCTGAAAGCTTTGGGGAGTTTGCCTTGCTGACTCGCTGATGCAGCAGTTGATTAATTGTGCACATCTTAAAAATATGACACAAAACGCAAAGAATACAATAATAGTCAGGCTTCCTCAGTTGCAAAAATGTAGATGTACCGTTGATGTAAATTTTGCATAAGTGGGTGACCTGTTTTCACAACTTAAACTTGTACGTGCAGTCAGCTTCTAGTAGGCAATTCACACGGTCAGCACCAACTCATTTACCTCAAAACATTGAATATTCCCGGTAAGGAGGATGCCGTTCTTCTACTATCCACCCCAAAACTGTTGTGGTGAATAGTTGTGATGTATTTTTATAATTGTAAAATGCTGCTATCGTAGACATATGCATTCTCAGTACTTAATTAACTTAACACTGCCATCAACTGTCTGCCTATATATCAACTGCGCTATCAGTCTGAACTTTGGAAGTTAAATAAACTACATGCTAATGTCCCGGGATAAATGATCTGAGCCAGAGATCAGTGATCATCTACATACAGACTGTTTGTTTGACCACCTGGAATGTGGCCCGTTCTGTCATACAGAAAAGCGCCAGCATTGTGTGATTAGCAGTGAGGTTTATGCAACAAGGTACATTATTTTCAATTGGAAGACTATAAATCAAGAGCAACATGCAACGTCTTTTTGAGTGGCTGCCTGATCAATTGCAGGAGTATTAATAAAACGAGTCACTTTGATTTAAACATGGGGCCGTTTTGCTACTTTCTACTCCCCCTCCCCCATCTGGGAGGGAGTGATCTTGAGTCACTGACCCATATTTTGGCCCGGCCTACATTTTTGGCTTTATACACAACGGAAAAAAAAACACCACTACTGTCACCGGCTTATTTCCGTGGCTTGTCTTTATTTCCCCTGTCCACCATGTAAATAACCACTCGTTCTGCTCTTTACTTGTTGTGGAAATTACGCAAACGTTGTCGTGTTTGGGGTCATGACATCATCCGTCCGAGCACACAGCTCCGGGAATTTTACCCCCGAGTGTGTCTGAATGAATGCGGCTTCCGGCGCGACCTGTACTGTGTCAGGATTTCTCGTTTGGACGGCAACTAACTTACAGGCGTTCAATCTTAGCCGTGGGGCGCCTGTCCATCTGCGGTGGGTGGCAGTTTCATAAAGTATATCCATGCTTTGGCAGCAGGACGCCGGTGAAGACGGGCTGAGCATCTCAACGCTGATTGGCTTTTGTGAGGTGCGCCAATGATTCGCTTCGCTCCTTCACATCTTTCGTGCCGCCTGTTGAAAATTTGCTTCATTTGCAATAATTCGCTTTTGGTGTGAACGCAGCATGAGAGATGATGCCCACCTCCACACCAGATAAAGGGACGCACGTCAGATTGTTCATGACTTGATCCAAAGAAAAGGAACTAATTATAAAAAAATGTATACAAAAGCGGCATATCTATGCATAAGTTAACTAGACTGAAAAAATACAAATAGAATAAAACACAAAGCCATTATCTACTTTATGTCACAGTCAAAAGTAGGTGTCCACGGTGTGGAGTGACTTGTATGTCAAAGTTTGAACTTTTTAACTCAGCACAACATCACTAAGATAGTGAAAAAAGACCAAAAAAAGTGTGTACTTTTTAAGGTTTAGTTCCTTACGTCAACACAAAAGAGGCAGTGTCATATCCTGCATAAGCTTCCTTTTAACATGTTCTCACTGAACAAAGGATCCGACAGAAGAAAGTGGCACACCTCAAGGAGTGCTGGGATCCTTCAAGGCCTGTATATCTGTACGCTGGCTGCCGGAGGAGTACAGCCTGACTGAGCTTTGCAGGTATTTATTCAACGATTAACTTGTGTCAAAAAGGTTCTGGAGCAAGGTTCTGTAGTTTGACCAAAGAACCTTCCTAAAAAGACTGCACATCAAGACACCTCCCATGTCTCAGTGTCAACATGCATCCCATTTTTACCAACCACACAAACCTGAATTAGATATGGAGCCTGAGAAAGATTCTGTTTAAAGAATGAATCTGTGAGAACCATTTTTCAAATGACATGTTCATACAGTGACAGTGGGAAAGTTCAATTAAAAAAAAGTAATTCACACAAACAGGCGTGCAGAAACAAGAACACAGTATTACCATGTCTCCAGGGGTCTTTGGGCTCCACTGCTCCAGAGATAATATCCTCATCTGAGGGAAATGTCACCCGTTTGCTGCTTGGTTTGTGTTTATCGTTCTCCTCCTCCACAGATGGGTACAGTCCAGCTTGGTCTGGGGCAGAGGCTTCCGAGCCGCCCGTCTGGACGGCATCTGACGGGCTCTCTGCCGTGCTGCCAGCTGGGACATCCTGAGCCGTGGACTCGGAATCTGCAGCACTGTCCGTGAATAATCTGTCATTTGTCGATTCAGCCTCCAACACTCCGCTCTCGTCGAGACTGAGATCAACACCTATGTCCATGTCGCCATCATCATCCCCTTCTTCCGCTACAGGTTTTGCGGGATCAGTGTCTTTATCTTCCTTCATTTGCACGCCCCCAATATCAGCCTTGTGCTGTTCATCGTTAGAAAAAATTAAGTCAGTGGGATTCACTACTGCAGCGGTGTCTTGAGCCGTGCTCTTTCTATTTCCATTGACCTCGTCGATCTCCAGCGGGTCTTGGTGGTTGTCCTCCTCGGCTGCTTGAAGGTTGTCAGTGAGCTGAGGCATGAAGTAGGAAGCCTCGGTGGGAACGATGTTTTGTTTTTCTGTGTTACTGTCCGTCATCAGTTCAGAGATGCGGGGGGTGACCCCTTCCGTGTTGTGGGTAGTGTTGTGATCATCAGCCACATTACTTTTTGTCTTGACATTGCACAGATCTAGACGCTGGTCTTCAAAATTCATGTTTTCATTTCCAGTGAAACAATTGACATGGATAAGCCTGTCAATATGAATTTAAGAAGATATTATATTTAAGTGCAATCAGAGAACTATATCTATATGTTAACTTGTTTGATGTAGTAAGGGGTATTTAAATGATTTGGGGCATTGTTTAAAAAACAACAAAAGCTAATTAAAGTGCACTTTCACACAAAACACTAAAGTCTGTGTGAAATGGATACTGTTCCAGTAATTATCTGTATACCAAACCTGGCAACTTTGCTACACCATGATCCAGGAAGGCAACCGACGCTTAATAATTTCTGCCAACCGCGTCCTTGCTCCAAGAGGGAGCCGAAGAGAAGCTAACTGTCGTCAACACATCGCCAGCAAGGTTTAAGAAAACAGTCAGAGCGAAGTGAACAAGTCACTCCACACCGTAACGCTTCTCGGAGTGAACTTGCTGTCCTGACACCAAACCGATATCTTCGCATGAATTCTGAGCGAGCTAACGTTAGCTAGCTTGCTAAAGTTGTTTCCCGACAATGACGTTCGGGCCCGTGTGTGGTCGCGTGCCAGCTTCTTTGCGTGAGCCCGTCTGTTTCCCCCCGACCAAGTCCATTCTTCCCCGTAAATAGAATTATTTTCCGGCTGTAGTCTCACCCTCTGTCGTGTTGCTCGGCTTGCATCACAACCGTCGACCAGCGGCGGCCAGAAAAAAAACAGGCGTCACACTCCTCGCAATGAGCATGTTTCAATGCCTAACGTTTGCGCTGGGGAACCGTGGCGAGGCTACACCTGTCGGTACTAATGCTGCTTTTTGTTATGAGATCGTAAAGATTTTCTAACCGCACAGGTTCTGTAGGTGTTTCTCTATCCGGGAGAAGTACGTTGAACCTGTTTTGCCTGGCGTTACCATTCGCTAGCTTGCTGAAGTCCACCAACTGTTTGTTGTTCACACGTCTTACGTCAGCACGTCGTTAGCCACGAGGGCGCGTTCAACAGACGCAGTGTTACAAGACTGTTGCTAAAACGATAGATTTAAATGTCAAAGGAATAGTCAAGACACGTTCGCCTATTGTATTTACTTTACGCCAAAATATAGATTGATTGCCATGTACGGTTTTCTAAATCCTACACAAAGAATGTATTTAATGGATTTCAGGAATGTTGCATTTAGCAAACAAGTTTGTCTCATTTTTTCCTTAGTTTTATTCTCAACCTTCTGACATGGTTTCACAAATGCTTGGATACAACCTTAAAGTGAATTCTGATTTCAGCAAAGGTTTAATAGTTTAGTGTTGAAGTTTAACTATTTCATGGTCTTAAAAAAAGGGCAACTATTTAGGAGGGCTAAGGTGCAATTGTCAAAACTGCTTTGTTAAAATCTATTGCAGGTAAATATACAAGTCATGGGAGCATTACACAAAATATATAACCTAAAAATTAGTTGCCTGCCATTCCTTGATGAGTCTTGACGTAGTTATATCATGGGACACAGATATTTCAGCCCAAATCCTGGCAACCAAAAGTAAACTATAATGGCAACGTCAATGGTGTTGTGCAATTTGCTAGTCAATACATTAGTCTCAGGAACAGTTCACTTATCAGACAATGAGTCCTTAGATTTCTCAAAAACCAGTGATATTTTCTGAACTTTAGAATGAGAGCACTTGCCAAGCAAGCATTCAGAGAAACCTGTAGGTCAAATTCATGGTAGACAACATTTCCTTAGAGTTTAGCGCCGCACTCAAGTGTTACGAAATAAATTCACCTTTTAAAAATTAAAAACTTTTATTATGTATAATTTTTTTTAAAAAGAATTCACAATTAAAACTCTTGAGACTGAACATCTTTCGCTGAGCTGTCATCCTTGGTCCCCTTGGTCTTCTTCGGGAGAAGGACTGCCTGGATATTCGGGATGACGCCACCCTCAGAGATTGTGACCCCTGCGAGCAGTTTGTTGAGCTCTTCGTCATTTTTCACTGCCAACAAGATGTGGCGAGGGGAGATGCGGTGCTTCTTGTTGTCACGACAGGCATTTCCTGCAAGCTCCAGGATTTCTGCGCAGAGATACTCCAGTACGGCCCCAAAGTACACTGCTGCGCCACTGCCAATTCGCTCGGCATAGTTGCCTTTCTTCAGTAGCCTGTGGATTCGGCCCACTGGAAAACTGAGGCCTGCTCTGATGGACCGGGATACATTGCTTTTCGGTTTAGGTGCAGCTTTCTTTCCACGGCCAGACATCTTTAGTCTAAATTAGGAGGAATACAATTAAATTTTGGCTCAAAATAGCAAAGACAATCATCAAAACAGCTGCTGCACATTTAAACCTCACCACAAACACTGTCTTATAATGCAGTGTACAGACCATTAAACTCCTCAACTTTAACCGCCACTCACCAGTTTTCTGCACTGCCTTCACATTAACACAGAAGCTCTGCACTGGAAGAAAGAAATGCTGCCTTTATATGAGTCATTCAGTAATCAGGTTGATTGTTGACACCTGGCTCCTCTGCTAAATTATAATGGATCTGGAAAGACTTTCTTTTTTCTTTTCTCTTTTCAAAGGGAATCAGGCAGTCCTGGAGGCCATCGGAGGAACAGGAACAGTGTTAGGTCTGAGGAAAGACTTGAAGAATGAATATGTAGAACAAGATATGGTGTGAGACAAGTAGAACAATCTACTGAGGTGAAGTGTTTGTCTTTTGCATTGGGAATTAACTATTTTGTTGGAGTAGAAAGGACATAATAGAAATGTGACATTCATTTGGTTTGGATGCCATTAAGAAACAAAGAAGTGCTTAAAAAAAATATTTGTAAAAAACAATGCTTAGATTATTTTCTAAATATCTGTCTTAAAGTCATCTTTCCCTATTTCAATGAATATCAACTCCTAATGTGGTGAAAAGAAACAACAGCAGATGGCAGCACAGACCTCCGATTTAACTTGTTGTTTGTTAAAGGTTGTCTTTATTATTTATTATACATACATATATATATATATATATATATATATATATATATATATATATATATATATATATATATATATACATATTCTTAATAAAGAAGCATTCGTAAAACCACATTTAACGGCGATCTTCACTTTATGATTAGGTCCTTGACTGTGTCTGTCTCATGTTTCTCATGTGTTTGCTTTATAGTTAACTGCTTGGGCCCAGTGATGTTAAAGGTCTGAAACACAACTCATGATTAGTAACGTAAACCATGTTTTAAAACCAGTATTGTTTTGTGTCATTTTGGGGGGGTATATATGTAATCATTTAGCATTAACACACTTAAACTAAGCATCAGTGTTAAACAATATTTTAAATAATAAATCCTTCACCAAGGTCCATTTACTGGCTTTTTCAACCCAATTCAAGTCTTATAGTTTGCTGCTAGCTCAATACTGTTTATATTTCCATAATCCATTTGATGCATATTGCTTTTTTAAGAAAGTACACATGTCTCAATACACCCGTTCCCATGGTTATTGAGCAAATGCCTGCAGATGAAGACCATCCAAAACAATTGAACCAAAAAGCTTCTAATTTGACATTAAGTTGATGACTGTTAAGCAATGTCATTGAATGAACAGCAGGGGTTGATCCTTAAGGTTGGTTCACAGGTTTTGAATGGGAGAGCACCCAGATTTTAATACATGTGTGATATTTTATGTAAAACTTGATTGAACTCTTCAAGGATTTATTAAATTAAAAAAACACCTCTCGTAGCACAGTTAAAAGTAAATATTCTAACATAAAAAATAAAAAGGTCTCATAATTTTGCTGCATTCTTTTTGCATCAAAGCCATGACTGTAGCTCTGTTATTGTCAATATACTCGTTGCCGAACCTTGAGGCAACCAGCTTCACACTTTGTAGCTTTTGTTTGCTCCCCCATGCATCAACAGTGAGATATGGAGGAGAGATACAGAGAGACATTTTGACTGTTGAGATTCACTTTAAAACATGGCAAAGAGCCAATTGCAGAGCAGCAGGAAGACAAATTAAGACGGGACCTTCCCTGCAGGTTGTCCTTGGACAGATTAGATGTGATTCGGCTAAACCTCTCAACATCCTCCCGACACCAGGGGGACAAGACAGGACTCCCCAGCTGTCACAGAGCAGTTCCCATGATGCATATGCCTGACTTTAAAGTATGTAAAGCGTAAAGCCAGCGCATACAATGAGTTGGTTCCTAACACAATTTATTTGCACTCAGTAGAGAATAGATTAATGCATAAATCGTAGTCTTTCATCATGTGACTTGTCATCATTGAAGCAAGCCAGACCTTTTTTTGGGGGCCATTCTCCTGAGAGTCTGGATAAAGGCTGAAAGCCGTCTGTATTTATTAGCAACAGTAGCTACTAACACTGAAGTTTGCAGTCTGCTGCCGAGTAAGAAGAGGAGATGAAAAGGGGAGTGGAGGAAGTCACGAAATGATCCGAACATATGATCAAATTTAAAGATTGAAGGCAAAACCAGACACAAAAGGTCCAAAATAAAATCTTTCAAGGCTGCACATCTGTAAGTAACACTATCTCTTCCCTATATGCTTTTTTTAATGAAATTTACTGCTGAATTTACAGGTACATCTTTTAAAAACATTTTTCAAGCAGCCTTGTGCTTTCTCTCTTCCTTGAGCAGTAATACATCTAAACTACTGGCTTTTAAAATGATTGCTGTTACTTTGACTTCTAGTTTTTCCCCTTTACTCACTTTTATGGAGATGTCAGCGGTGGACTAAAGGAGATTGTGCACAATCTTAGTAAAGCGATTGATCTACAACAAGAGTAAAGCAAAGGATCAATTACTTATTGCGTACATGCAGACATGCTTGTTTGATTACAGAGATGCGTTCTTATAGTGATGTTCATATTTGAATTACTGACAGTTTATGAAGGGCAAAGCCCCCGCCCTGAAAATAACACCACTTTCAACAAATAACAGCATATTCATCATAGAGCCCTTTTTCCAAATTCATTAATTTTCACGACGGCGGCATCGGCCTCATTGGCAACAGAAAAAAAGATGTGACATACGTCTGGCCCCTTGTGTAATCTGAAGTCAATAAAGAAAAAAAAGAATTTGAGGTGTTCAGACAATAATTGGAGAGGGAGTCATTCTCTGAGTGCATCCACTTTAATTATGAAACCTTACGGACACCCACAATGCAGCCGGCTGTCTGGAGGTCCCAGGATCCTTAGGTGCTTAAAGTCTGTCGCCTCCGTAAAAAAACGCCGGCAGGCCGGTGATGGTTTTTCCATGACTGATTTTGCAGAAGCCTGAAATCATGCAGTCCCATTAAATAAAGGAGAACTTTGAGAGACTATGCCTCAACGTTATATTCTGAGGGAAATCTTACACATTGCATCTTTATTTAACGTTAATTAATTGGAACCATAATCCTGTTGCTCTGAAATAGCATTTAAACGAACATTTTGGTAAAAGAAAAGGTAGATTGATGCCACTCCAACATTTGTCCTTTAAGCTTGGTGGATTTTGGTACCTTAGGACAAAGCAGAAAGCCACCAGACTCCACATGTTTGTGGTCAGTGAATGCAAGGGCGTAGTAATTTTGGACTATGTCAATCGTATCTCAATTGTATGTAAGTGAAAGCTTCAGTTAAAAGACACACGAGGGCTTGAAAGCTTTTGGAGAGATTGTTGAGTTGACCGATGACCTTGCTGGTTTTGGCTACATACTTGGTTTAAGGGGCACACACAAATCCAAATATTTTTTGCTGGTTCTACCTATAATGTGCACATATGTGCAAAAATCTAATGCAAGATTACTTTTTATTATTCATTTGTGATACGGGGTTGAAACACTCTTGGACTGTAGCCGATAGAAGGTTTCAGCAGTCTGCGTCGGATGAGGCTAACAAGGATATTTCAAAGTTAGTCTTTTTTACTAGGCATTGCTGACCTGTAAAACGCTCTGCTTAGCTTGGTCCTCCTGCTACGGCAAAGTCACAACATTTAGTTATGTCTGTTTCCAGAACTACTCCTTCCTGTACTTACTATTTCTGGAAATTGGGAATTCTTTATTCCTTTCCGGCCCTCCCTCTTTTGCACCACCCTCTTCTCTTCTCCTCTCCACCCTTCCTCAGCTTTTGCATCATCCTACGCATCTTTCATCCTCCTCAGATTCGAAGCCAGCTGTGATGGCTACCATATGTCCACACCACATGTTACCGGTTTCCCAATAAAAAAAACATTATGAAAACAGAGGGTGGGCCTCGGGAGGTATAAGATTGCCGAAGGATTTCATCTGCAACTGAACTCCAGTGTGTGGGGATAGACCAGAAGAAGACCGGCAAAGTAAATCATTGCCACGTCATCTGAAGGAACAACGAAGGACAAAGATATTTTCCATCATCCACCCAGCCACTCATCCGTCCATCCCACCTGTGCAAAACTACCCCTCCTCTTTGCTTTTAATTCCTCCATCTGTTTTTCTGTCTTTCCTTTGTGACTCTCGTTATTTTCAGTCATAACTTGTTTTGGCTCTACTGTATAACTCTTTAAAAAGAAAATGCAATTCTCTTCCTGTCCTTTCTTGCTCCTCCTTCTACCCTTGGTACTTTGTCACAGACACACACACACACACACACACCAACCCACGCACACACACACACACACACATAGAGGAATTCACACACTTCATTTCTTTAAATATTCATTTCCGTCTGTCTGTGATGTGTTTTGGGGAGTTTCCTGTTCCCACCCCTGCTGCTTCCGTGAGAACCACCATGTAGGAAGTGGCAGTCCTGGAACTTGTTCCTCCTCCTTCCACTAGTGCCATTCCCCCGCTGACCCAGTTGGAAAAAAAGGGAAATAGAGAGAGAGGGACCTCTGCCATTGAGTTTACTGTCCGTTTATTATCACTAGTTCCTGGATTCTATTACAAAATTTGTTGTCGCAATAGCCTTTTCCCACCAAATATCACCTCCTTTACGACACAGGCTGCACATCCCTGCTCGCTAATAAACTCAGCATATTACACTATTTCACAGCCGGAGGTTTCTTCAGAATTTCTCTGATTATTTTGACAGAAACCATTTCCAGGTTGTCAATCAGTAGGCCGCGGCTTTTTTTTTTATCAAACATAAAAACTTGAATCCAAGCATTTTATATCAGACTATGTACTTTTTTCAAATTGACATGAAGAATACTTTGATTCTAAGTTCTGGGGAACTCTAAACTGTCAGGTGAAAATATCCAGAGTCATGAACGTTTTTGCTGCTGATTAAGCCACTCAGTCATTTTTATCAATTAGTGAAACATCATTGAAAATGTTTCTTTATATAATTGATTTTGTTTGTTTGTTCCAACACACTCGTTGGACTAGTGGGTGTAAAGCTCGAGCTAACCGCAAACACCCTAGCTGGGAGATTTCCTGAGAATTGGAAAAAGCCATTTATGCTAATGACTGATTCAATGGTACCATCAGATTGCCCCACTCATATATTACTGTACGCAAAATAACTA